CGGGCAGCAGGGCCCTCACGGGACATCTCCCGGGCCTCTTAAGCGGGGCTTGTCCTGTTGCCATGGCAACTGGCGGCTCTTGGCGCCCCTTGCTGCCTTGGGGGTCGGGTCCTGAAGGCTGGCCACTGGGGTGAGGGCGGCCCTGCCTCGGGGTTCCAGGGGGTCGGCTCTGGCCACAGCCCCCTGCAACTCCTGGACCTTGGCCCTCCAACCCGGAGGACACCCCCCTCCCCGGCTTAGGGGAGTTTGGCGCCGCGGGGAGCAGGGCTCCAGGGTCTGCGTGACATCCCCCCAACCCGCCCGTCCTGGCTTTCCTGTTCACCCAGCGGCCCTTCCCCGTGATGGGCCGGCTGATAGCCCTGCCTCCGGCTATTTCTGGGCCATTTCCAGCCCCTCGACCAACACCACACCTAACAAAACCCCTGCCGGGCTGGACCGCGGGGGGGCCCTGGGGGAGCCGGCTTATTTCCCAGCAGGGAGCTGCAGACCCGCGGGCTCACGCCCCAGCACCCTGTCAAGTGTCTGGCTAATCTGAATTGCCGAAAAGAATTTTCCAAGTCGCTGGTGATTACAGGTGTCTCCGGCCAGCACGGCCACCTCTTGTGCATTCCAGAGAGGAGCCAGCCCTGAGTCCCACTGGCGGAAACAGTCAGTCCCCTGGCAAGAGGCTAGAGCCCGTCACAATGAAATCTGATTAAATTATTCTGTATTTGAAAGCGTCGCTCCGGCTGGCGCTGTCGGGGTAGGGTTTGCGGACGGAGGGGATGAAGCAGAGCCTGCAGTCTGCCTCTTCCTGTCCCGTCCGGGGAAACGCTAATGGATTCCACATTGCGGGCCAGGCCAGCGTGTCCTCCACCCATGTCGTCAGCCTCGCACTGACCTCGCTCGCGGCACCCGCTGGGGTGACTGGAGCTTGTTTTCATCAGAACTTGGACTCTTCCCTGCGGACGAGACAAAAACCTTCTCTAGGAGAAGCGGCGTCCTACACCCTCGGGCCGCGTCCGAGTGTCAGTGTGACAGACCAGAGGCCGAGGCCGGAGCAGAAAAGGGAAAGGCAGGTGGAGCCTCCCAGCCGGACCCGGCGCCTCTGTGGGATGTTCCTGCCTCTCGTCCTCGGAAAGAGTCCACTCCATCTTGACCAACAGGCTGCGCTCGGCCTGCGGGGGTTGGGAAGGAAGGTGGCAAGGGAACAAGTGACCGTCCGTCCGTGGCTGCTCTGCAAACGGCCACAGAGCGAGCAAAGCTTCCTGATAAAACAGACCAGCGCCCGTGTGTCCTGGGCCTGCGTGGGCCTCAGAAGGACCTGGCGGAGAGGCGCGAGCCACAGTCTCCTTCATTCGCCTGGAAACTGCTGGAAGGAGGGAGGGCGCTCGCTCCCGAGGCCCTGGGAGTGGACGAGCAGGCGTGTATCTGTAATTTTTTTTTTTTTATGAAAACAGAATTGCATTAGCTTTAGATGTTACAGAACCTAGACCACCCCAGCGCAAAATAGCAACTCATGTCCTCGCTGGTGTTCTCAATGGTTAGAGCGTTGGCCCTCGGACTGAAGGGTCTCGGGTTCGGTTCCCGGCCCCCGCTGGGGTGTGTGGGAGGCGGCCGATCAGTGTGTGTCTCTCACATTGATTTTCTCTCCCCCTCACCCCCCTTATCTACCCCTGCCTTCCACTCTCTCTGGAAATCGATGGAGAATATGTCAAAACAAAAAAATGGCAGTCCACTCCCCTGCTGTACCTGGGCCTCTTAGGCTCCTGGGTTTACTTCACGGCTCTTCCGTGATGGGCTGTTGCTGCTTTAGCCGCGGTTTCTGCGTTTTCGGCGTTGCATTCACAACCACACACATCTCGAGGCCGAGGCTTCTGGCCACAAGCCACCATGGGGTGTGGTTGGACCCTGGGGCTCTGCCTGGAGGCGGCGGCCGGGGAGGGGAGTGTTTGTGGAGGGTCAGGCCCTCTGAGGGGGGGTCCGGCTGGCAGTGTGGGAAGCAGGCTCATGCCTGTGATGCGGGGGCGAAGCCGGGCACGTGCCCTGCGTGCGCTCTGTGATGCTCTGCTGTAAGTTCACGCCAAGCCTTTGGCAGGCGCCCGGGCGCTGAGGGGAGCCGTGGCCAGCGCGGGCTCCCTGGGGTCTGACGGGACCTGTCACAGGCTCCTCGCTCCTCGGGGGAGAAGTGAAGCCTCAGGCATCCTCACTCCCGTGCAGCCTCCGCACTGGAGGCCAGAGAGAGCCCTGTGTGCGCGTCCGCGAGACACCTGGGCGAGCACTGCCATGTGAGTGTGAGCAGCAGGCCAAAGGGCAGGGGGTGCCCCCCCCCCCAGCCTCTCCCACCACCCGTGGAGCCGGGAGGGAGCGGGGACTGAGGGTGTTGGCTTCCACTGAGTTTAGTGCTTGACATTTGTCACAGGTGCCCAACGCTGCCAGGTCCTTACTGGGACCTGGACACTGTTTCTAGAAGCTTCTAGAAAATGAGCTTTTCTTCTCTGGCCTGCCTGCTCTCGTCTCTGGTGAGGGCACGGGCACTGAAGTGGGCGCCGTCCTCGCTGATGTGGTGTCGAGCTTCGTGTTTGTGCTGTGGAGATGCCCGCTCTGCCACGCCTCCTGCTCCGCCAGGGCCAGGCGAGGCCGTGCACTCTTAGAACCAGCCTGGGAGCACTGGGTGCACTGGGATGACGGCTGGGAGCACTGGGTGCACTGGGATGACGGCTGGGAGCACTGGGAGCACTGGGATGATGGCTGGGAGCACGGGGATGATGGCTGGGAGCACGGGGATGATGGCTGGGAGCACGGGGATGATGGCTGGGAGCACGGGGATGATGGCTGGGAGCACGGGGATGATGGCTGGGAGCACGGGGATGATGGCTGGGAGCACGGGGATGATGGCTGGGAGCACGGGGAGGAGCACTGGGAGCACTGGGATGATGGCTGGGAGCACGGGGATGATGGCTGGGAGCACGGGGATGACGGCTGGGAGCATGGGGATGGCGGCTGGGAGCACTGGGTGCACTGGGATGACGGCTGGGAGCATTGGGAGCACTGGGATGATGCTGGGAGCACTGGGATGACGGCTGGGAGCACTGGGAGCTCTGGGATGACGGCTGGGAGCACTGGGAGCACTGGGATGACGGCTGGGAGCACGGGGAGCACTGGGATGATGCTGGGAACACGGGGTGCACTGGGATGACGGCTGGGAGCACGGGGAGCACTGGGATGATGCTGGGAGCTCTGGGATGACGGCTGGCTGACACATCAGAGCTCCCAGGAGTGTGCACTGACCCCTCCAAGGGCAGCTGTGGCCTGACCGCAGCCTGAGTGCCAGGCTGGACGCAGTGGGAGGACTGCATACATTCCCGTCGTGCCTCGGGGTCTGGGAGAGCCCTTTTGTGTCGCTGCGGTCACATGGACATCCCAGTGCTGCCGTCCAGGGCCGCACTCCTCCCAGCCGGGCGGTCACTGCCGCTCTCCCTGCCCGCCCTGTCCCGGCTGTGGTGTGGGAGATGGAGGCCAGCGTTTCCCACTCCCGCCCTTTACACCTTCTCTGTGGGGCCATGTGGTGGGCGGGGTCCGCCTCGGGGGACAGGCCACGACCCTGCACACACGGCCACGGCCACGGCCGGC